TCTGTACTGGAAGTTATTTAAAGAGTATTTTCAGTTTAACTCATTGCAGCTGAAAAGACTTCTGAAATACAACACACACTTTATATGCAACTTTTTTAAATAGAAGAAATCACATCCACGTAGCATAACAGTAACTAGGGGAATGAAAACAGAATAAGTATTTATCAGTGCAAAGGACGCTTCATATATAAGGATAAAAAAGCAAATTATACTAGCATGCATAAAATGTTCATGTAAATATATTTTTTATATAAGCACACAGAATGCCATAATTTATGTCTGCCTTTTTACTGAAATCCAGAAAGTGACAAAGTATTTATCTGGTGCTGTAATTTACAACATATAAATTTAATAACAGCAAGAAATAGGTTTATACTTCAAGTGTCTCAATCTTGGCAAAGTTTTATGTCCAAGAATTATGGATATTTTATAATTACTTTTCCAGTATGAGGCACAGTTCATAATCTACAGTATTTTTAATTCTTCTTCACTGTATGAACCCCAAGAGTTTAGAGATCTAAAAATGACTCAGAACCTCAACTGGTATTGGTGTTGCCTGTTTGGAATGTTACAGAAAGGCAATTTCTAAATATAAACAGGATAGCATCTGAGAAAAATGCCTTTTGTTCCTAGAATATTGTCCAAAGCTAAAGCACCTAACCTGTGCATGATAAATTCACTTAAAACCCTGGCAGTGTTCGAGGCCAGGCTGGATAAGGCCTTAAGCAACCTGTTCTAGTGGGAGCTGTCCCTGCCCATGGCAGGGGAGTTGGTACTAGATGAACTTTAAGGTCCATTCCAACTCCTTAACATTCTATGATTCTATAAACCTCATATGGAAATCTTACATATCCATATCAATGACTAAATACTCATATAACTTACCAATACTGTCCTGTCCAGGTGAGTATTCTCTGTGTGAAACAGATTTTCAACTTCTGACAAAAAGCAATAGTAACTGAAAAAGCTTTCTTGAAACTTCTAAATAAGAACAAAATTAAAATAACTGGTTCTGGATTATAGAATTACAAATATATACATTATACATACATATATACACATGCATGTGTATATATATATATATATATATATATATATGTATGTGTGTATATATATATAACCCCAGGCTATTTGAGACTCCAATGATGAAACAGAAAACGGAACTAAAATAATTCAATCACTGTTTTGCATAGCATATTAAGAGTGCAGATGAAACAAACAAAACCCAACAGCTCTAAAATACTTAAAAATATTTATGATAGCATGGGAAATGTCATTTCTGTTTTAAAAGCTGATAAGTGAATCATCTTCACCTGTTAAAGGAGGGGAAAGTGCACATTTCTTGGAAATAGAGAGTAATTCATCAGACTTCACGCCAGTCTTCCCAGAAACTGCAACAATTTGGGTTTTGCAGAAGGAAGGCACACATGTCAAGTTCACACCTTTTAAGAATTCACCCACATCCAGTGCTGCTTCCTGTGCGATAACCCACATGAACTATTTCAAAAACCAAGTCACATATAAAAATACTCTATTATTCCACAGGAGACACTCAGCAGAGGGTCCTCATTCAGCAAACAGTTAACAGCCTTAAATACTGTCGTAGTCATAATGACGATTCAAACTCCAAGATCCAATCTAGCTGTATCGCGGGAGGACACAGGTTACAGAAAGCCTGCAAACGAGACAGCCTACTGATACAAAAGCCGTGATAGAAGACTGTCACGGGAGTTTCCAGCTGCAGTGGTGACCCCAAAGGCTGCCGAGCAGTGTCCTGCCCTGGCACTTCCAGCCCTGGGCCAGGGTCTCGCTGCTGCCAGCACTGGGCCCGGGGCTCCCTCAGCTCCGCACACTGGATCCCCATTTTCCTCCATACCCGCTTTCTTTGGCTTCCCACCCCAACGTGACCTTCACCTCTCTCCCCAAAACCTCGCTCAGCCCTCCACCATCCCGAGCAAGCGCCCTGTTCACGCTCAGCCTCGGATCTTTTAATTCATGACGGAATCTGCCCCCGAAAGGCAGCGGATGGCGGAAGGAGGAGAAGGAATTAGATCGTTTCCTGTTGCTTTAATCCCCTCGTGCGGGTTTTAGCAGCGCCGCCCGGGGCGCTCTGGCCCCTCGCCCAGAGCGAGAAGGCCGCAAACGAGCGCCCGCAGCTTGGCCCGCTCAGGCAGCGGGAGGCGGGGAGGGAAGGGGAGGAGAGGAAGGGAAGGGGGCTGCCCGCCGCCACCTACGGACCCGCGCTGTCCGGACAGCCGGGCCGGGCCGGGCCGGGCCTGGCGGCGCGGTGAGACCGTGCGGCGCGGGGGCCCGGCACAGAGGGGAGAGGGGCGCAGGCTACACACCCAGCAGCAGCCCGTCCATGTCAAAGATCAGGTGAGTGGCCGGGCGCAGTGCGGCCGCCGAGGAGCTGGAAGCGGACATGGCGAGGCCGGAGGAGCCGAGCGAGCGGAGCCGCCGCGGGAAGAGGCCGGGCAGGGCGCGACGGAGGGGGGGCCGGGGCCACTCAGCGGGTGCGGGAGCGCCGTGGGCCGGGCCAGCGGGACCTCTCTGTTTGCTGTGTTCTGCTTTTAAAACAAAGTCCGTTTC